CTCTCTCTCTCACAGACACACACACACACACACACGCGCACATGCAAGTGTGCCGCTTCATCGGCAGATGGGTGTGTGGGTACTTGGCACTTGAGCACTTCAACGTGGCCAACCTTGCATCTTCTACTATATTGCCTGTCTACGCTGTTTTATGGATAGTTTTTGACGATTTGTGGATGGAATGAGAGAAAGAGTTTGCATGCGCGCACATGCACATGCACATGCACACGCACATGCACACGCACACGCATACTCAGACACACGCACACGTACATACACACACACAGTACAGGTCCTGCGGTGTATTTTTGATTTGTGGTGGCATTGTAGGCCGTTGCAGAGGGCTCTGTTTTTTTGAAGACCGTTGGCATGTGTGGTCGGTGCTTTTCTGTGAGTGGGGCCTTTTGTGTTATGCTGTTGGGTCTGCTTAATTAATTTTGTGGTTTGTGGGCCGACACGGAGGGCTCTCCGAGGTTTTTGGGACCTATGGCGGATGGGGTCGGCGCTTTCTTGCTGGTGGAGTCCTCTGTCTTAGGTAAGTTGCCTTTTGCCCTCCGCCCGTTTATGGATTATGAAATAAATATATCGTCAAACAGAACTGCCTGGTAAACTGTCGGCAGAGAGGGACAAAAGGGAGAAGAGGACAACAAATGAGGTGCTGTGACAAACAAACTATATGTATATGTATTATGTACAAGCGTGCCGCTTTGGTGGCAGACGGGTGTGTGGGCACTTGGCGCTGAACCACACAAACGAGGCCAACCTTGCGTTTTCTATTATACTTTTTTGTTATGGATGGTTTGTTATAATTTGTGGAGGGAATGAGAGAGAGAATTTGGGGTGCTTTCTTAAACACACACGCACATGCACACGCACACGCACACGCATATGCACACACATATACACACGCAAACAAACAAACACACAAACAAACAAACAATTGCTTGTTTCCATGGTAGGCTGTATTTCTCTCTGAAACGCATGCCTGGCTCTCTTTGTTAAATATGCCGTTGCAAAACGTTTGAGGGTGTCTCTGCCTAAGCACATGTTATTGCATTGGTGACAGCCTTTTTACACGCGTCCCCTTCTGAAACGGATTCTGTTATGGTGATCACAGGTTTTGAACCAGATGCAGATACGGTAGAGCAGGCGCGTAAAGCTGGCGTATCTACTATTGAGATAGTCAACGATCCTTTTGAGGCAGTGAAGGGGGCCAACATAATTTACTCTGACGTTTGGGCCTCTATGGGGCAGAAGGAGGAAGCCGCATTGCGAATGCAGCGCTTCAAAGGATTCCAGGTGCGAGGTTTGCTATGCTCCGACCTTGGGATCATCAGACAACACAAATGAATCTTTGTTCGGGGCGCTTTGTCTGCCTGCCTGCTATATATTGCACCTTAAGGCTTAAACCGCCAGTACATCTCCCAGCTGCTTTTGTTCCTATGCGGTGGTCTACCCACGGCATTGATCGGGCCTCGGCATATGGGACCAAAACGATGGCTGGTGGGGCCGGCCAAAACGAAAAGAAACTGTCGTTCGGGACATCAGTTAAAATTGGAACGATACTGCACAAGGATGACACACTGAAATTGAGAAATGAGAAACAAACGAACAAAATAAAAAAAAAAAACGAGAAGAAACTGTGCCCATGCCGTTTTGTTCTGTTTCTGATGCGCAGCCGATATCCAGGTGGTGAAAAATGGGCTCAGCAATACTGGTGGTTTAAGATTTGTGATTTCACAAATTCACATCATGTAACCTGTTTACTGGGGGCGTGCGGAATTCCAATGCTGTTTGCTGTCTTGAGGATCTTATGTCAATCAAGCGTCCAATGCTTGGACATCACCCTCAGGTCGTACTCGCTCACACTAACTCTTTTCTCTCAACGTATCTGACCGCAATCGCAGCCGGACGTGGGTGCATCTGGCTGCAATCAAGTCCAGGGGGATGTCAAGAAAGCCTCAGTCTCCCAGACTCTCCCTTCTTCGTCTGTTTTTGCTGCAGCGGCGAACAGCATTATTGATCTTTTTTTCTTTTTTCTTTTTTCTTTTTTTTTCTCTTTTTTTTTTTTAATAAACGCAGGGCCTTATGGTCCTGGCTCCTTCTATTCTGGGGAGCGTCAGTCCGGTTCCTATTCCACCGGCAAGTCAGAAGAAACATTACATTACATCAGAAACTCACGCTTCCTCCCGTTCGGCCGGAGGATACCCTGAACAGCATTGATTGCTCCACCAATGGTGAAGGATTGACTGTCAGCTTGCAGTGACTCCCTCTTTTTTTCCTCTCAGACCTGAAAAAAACAGCTCTGCCAGATAGTGCTATGTCATCTAGAAAGAGCTCGCCCATTATTTCTATATGCCTGTGCTCTCCCCCTCATCGGCCCTGCCCGTAAGTCGCTGTATCCCCTAAACCATTTAGCCTTCTCCCTTCTTTTGAGGTTTACTAAACCCTAAACCCTAGACCCTGCCCCTCACTTGGAAGTAATATTTTTAAAATCTCTCCTCCCTTGCTCTCGCCTTCCATTGGCGTAACTCCAGACCCCGACTGTATCTCCCCGAATGTGGTGGTAAGAGTCCGAAGCTTTCTCTTTAGAGTTCTGATCCGGAGGTGCTTTGCCCGTGCGCTGCACTCTGCTGCCCAGCGTTTCTTCCTGAGCTAGAGTTGTGCCAGTCCTTCCAACAGATGCGATCGTCCCGCAACTCAGCGACGTTCCCATCTATCAACCATGCCCTGCCGAAGCTCCGTCTAGCCTTCCTTTGCTGCTCGTCATCCTCCGACCAAGATAATTTAATCTTCCGCCATCTGCACAGGATCTCTGCCTGTATCATTACTTTCGTCTCCGTCCAGATCAGCTCTCGTGCGCTGGAGATACCTTCAATCGTTCTGCTGCATCTTTCCTTCCATATGACCCATAGGGTCACCTTCCTTATGAGTCCACACCAAATCCTTTCCCCTTTCCGGGGCTGTTCAGGGATGTTAATCAGAAGGAGAAGTTGGATGGGGTGTTCAGGGAAAGGGGTTAAGAAAATGGAGTCCCAGAGGGTCGCGGCTCTCGCCCAGTTATCCGTCGCCTCCCTACAGTGAATTAGGCAGTGTACTGTATCCTCTACTGCATCCTCCGTGCACACCATGCATTGATCAGAACTGTCAGGGCCGGAGCCCTTTCGCCTAACATGAAGCCATTGGTTAACTGGTAGTGCTGCGTATCTTATCAGCCATTGAAGGCTTCTGATTTTGACTGGTCTGATCGTTTTATAGACTTTCCACGGGATCTGCGTGATTTTATCCGCTTCCTGTCCTGGTAACTTCTGCCACCTGGCCTTGATCACCGGCTCTGGGTCTTTTGTGTTTAACAGTAGCTTGTACCCGAGTTTGACTGTGTAGTCCTGTATGGGGGTGAATCTCTTGACGTTTGTCTTCTTATGTGGTTTCCATGCCCACTCCGCCGGGTCGAATTCGATTCGAAGTTTTGTATTGCCGTATCAGATCTGAAGATGAACTTCGGCCATGTGCCCAACACCCTAACTTTCCTGAGCAAGAAGTGTTCCATGACTGTAGTTTCCACGTTGATATTCATAATCGACGGCATACCCTTTGTGGAGTGCGTAATCGGAAAGTAAGTGAACACCGCTGGAGTACCAGATCCCTGCTGTAAATGCGAGAATTGGAAAGCCCTAGAGGGATGGTTCTCTTGTATGTTGACCCCCCCATTCACCACTTCTCCAATCCCCCCCTTGTTTCAGCACGTCTCTCCACTCTCGAGGGACAAGCCAAGCTTAGTCATGTATTGCAGGTGAGGTCCTCTTCTATGGCAGCCCTTCCTTCGACCGTGTACTTAGACTTAGCTCCTGCTCAGACACCCATTTCTTTCTTTTATTCGTTCCGCAGGTGTCCAATTGTCCAAACACCATTCTTTACCCGAGACAGCCATTTGTGGTCTAGGAACAAGGGTTCATCGCTTTCGCTCGTCAACCACTCATTGCCAAATAGCGGCTGCCTCAGCACCTCATCCTTTGATTTGGGTCTGTTGGTCTTTTTTGGCATTATTTCCCTCCAAATCCGAATCCGGATGAGAGCCGCCCAGTATGGCGTTTGACGGTTGTCTATGTTCTGCTCTGTTTCCCCCCTGGATCTTCTTCTCACCTTTCTCAACGACCATTCCTTGTTCATTACCCGGAATAAACCCGTCATGTTACTTGGTGATGACACCGGAGCTAGGGCCCTTATGCTGTCCAACAAGGCAAGCTTGTTCCATGCCGTTTCTGGTTTCGTCAACAGTCGGACTATCCATTTGTCTTGAAGGGCTTTTGTCTCGCACCTCGGGTCAATGATTCCCAGCCCCCCTTGTATTGGTTTCCTTGTAATATACTGCCAAGCTAGGCTACCAGCCGGTCCGCCCGGGTCATTCCATTTTCCCAGGCGGCCCGGCCGTGCAAGGACCAGGGAAGGTACCAGCCAAAAAGAAAAAAAAAGAAAAAATCCGAAAAAAACTATGTTATGGAATTCTTTACCAAGAATAATAATAATAATAATAAAAATAATATTTATTTTTTATTTCTTTTTATTTCTTTTTGGCACGGCCGGGCAAGTGGACCCGGGCCACTCTGGTAGCCTAGCTGCCAAGCTATCTTTGGAATGCAACTTCCCTTGTTGGGGTTGCCCGTCCAAAGGTATGTTCTCGCTACACGGTTTAGTTCCTTTAGTGAATCATCCGGAATTGTCCATACCCCCTCAATGCACCACATCATGGAGAAAACTGAAGTGTCGAGGACCAACACCGGCCGAGCAGCGAGGTAAAAGTATTCCCCCATCTCCCCAGCTTATTCAACTGCTTCGCTAACATGTTCTGGGCCATCCGTCGATCTTATAATAATTCTTATTGTGGGCATTGTCATTTCCTTTCTGTTATGCGCGGTTTAAACTTCGAAGGTTTTTTTTTCCTTCTTCTTCTTCGTTCTTTTTTTATATGAAAACAAGCTTATCCTGTGCAGCATAGACTTACAAATTGCTCTTCACCACTGTTCTTTATTCACTTTGCTGCAAGAGTGGCCAGTCTCAAAAAACGTTTATGCGGGTCTCGGGAACCAGTGAGGTAGTCTACTGATCAGCTCAGGCCACAATTTTTCCCCCTACATCATGTTTGTTTGGTTTATCAGGAACTCTATTCAGCTTGGTCCTTTTTTTGCTCTTTCTTTTCTTCAGTTGCCTCCCGGGTTAGTGTTCCATTTGGTCCTTTTTTTTCTGACAGACGGATGGTATGTGGGGCGTTGTGGCGGTTGTATTGCTTTTATCCAGGTAAATGAGGAACTGATGGCTGCAGCCGGCAAAGATGCATTGTTCATGCACTGCCTGCCAGCTGAGAGGGGAGTTGAAGTTACAGATGGCGTCATGGAGGCGCCTTATTCTATCGTCTTCCCTCAGGCAGAGAACCGGATGCATGCACAGAATTCGATCATGCTCTTTGCAATGGGGTGCTGAGCAGAAGTGCATAGCGCTGCGATTGGAATTTGAGATGTGTGTGGATTAGAGAGAGAGATCGTTCGAAGTCGCGGGCTTTGTGCGACCAGTCCATGGAATAGAGGAGGAGAGGTGCATTCTTCCTCCGTTTCTGCTGCTTTTGTGACTGGGTCAAGCGTTGCCTGCCTTCCTTCGAACTGCGTGGTACGCTCCCTACCCCGAAAGGCACGTGGCCGCCACATGTGCCACACCGCCAACAGTGTACAATGTTTCCCTGCTGGGACTCTGCAACCATCCCGCACTAACCCTGAGCCTTAACAAGCTGACGGTTACGAGGGTTAAGGCTTCAAGCCCAGGGTTGCATGGAGAGCTCTCTGGTTTCAATAGTTGAGGGAGTGGCTGTTGGCCGAGTTTCCTTTTTTCTCGGTTTTCTTGTTCAATCCGCAATAATGGGGCATCAGAGCTGTCAAGGGTTCAAGCCCAGCTGCCCAGGGTTGCAGTTACGAGTGCCGAAAATGCAGAAATGCTGTGTTGCATTGGCCATTGACGGTCACTCTGGCACGAGTGTGGGAAAGTGGATAAGGTGCGGAGAATTTTTGTGGGGGGTTGTTATGGCTTTGAACCAGCTGGATCAACCCTCACAAAGAAATGCTTCTGCCATCTCTCTCTCTCTCTCTCTCTCTCTCTCTCTCTCTCTCTCTCTCTCTCTCTCTCTCTCTCTCTCTCTCTTGGAGCCCATTTTTCTTTACAAATAATAAAAGGGGTGCTGTCAAAGTGATAGCGATGGTCTGAGTGCTGAAGTGACTTTTCACACTGCCCTCGTGGGATTCTACTACGATTCTACGATGGCGGATTTTGCACACACGCGTCTACCCTTTAATGCTTGGTTGTGCGTATGATGCTGTGCGACTGCGTGTCAGGCTGCAGAACAAAGTGTTGCGACGGTAGTCTGTCTCTGGCGGAGGAGAACTCTGGCAACGACATTCTATCGCGCAGCAGCTGTGACTGTGAGTGTTCATGGTCTTTTCTTTTACGACCTGGGTCCTCTGCGGGGGAGCGCGTGGGCTAGAGAGTGGACTACGTAAGGGGTAGGCATTGGCAGTTTCTGAAATGGGCGCGGATTTCAAGACCGAGAGATTGTGAGGATCAGATGAACGTGATGGCTGTCACAGATTGCTTACCCCCGCAAGTTTGTGACCAGTGGGCACCTGGTCCGGAGATAGTTACAGGGGATTCACAGCATTTGGGGGTCTGCATTTGGAGTATCCAAGCAGCTGTCTAGACTAGAATGATCCTGGCCCGGTTTGCTTTTCTGCTGCAGGTTGAAAAGGGATCTCTGTGGAATCGGTCACCTTACCGTTAGATCCGTACCATAGTATTGCTATCATATGGTTTCGACTTTGGCCACTAGGCCCCAAAACTGCAGTCTGCACAACTCCTACCGCTCCCTCCCTCCC